AACTGGCTGATTAATCAGTCAGGCTTTATTTGTAACACTGGTGGGGGGTTAAAAACACATTTGTTCTTTGATGAACAAGAAGGTGTCATGACTTAAAAGTTTAAGTGGGAGTCTTGAACCTAAAAGCTGAGCACATCATGACAATATTATGATCATTTTAATGGCTTGATAACACGTTCATTAGTGAACAACAATAAGGAAAAGGGAAAGAGTGTTTCCTCTGTGTTTTGACAAGGTCCTTGATGACCTTCAGAAGTTATTGGTGTCATCTTGCATTATGAACACTTTATAGAGCCACAGAGGCAAATCAAGACAGACTGACACAACACTTGCATTCTTTAATTGATCCTCTGGTCTTACAAGATCGCTTTTAATGAGCATGTTTCTGTTCATAATCATTAATAGTTTAGTCTGCCACTGGGACTCTCATGTCCTGAAAAGAATGAAATGACAGTCACCTTGTACTGAATTCCAGAACTAGGAGGATAGTTGTGTAATGGTGCACTGGGGTTTCAAGTAATCTCAACCCAGTTGTCAACACTGAACAAGAGATATCACTTTTTCCCTTAATCATCAATCCACACAAGCCACCTTAAACGGCACACACCTTACAACACGTGCAAACAAGCTTGTATGTACACTGCAAGCTAACGCACACTAGGAATGAGCTTTATCCGTATTGAGTTTCGCCTCACATTGTCTTTTATTTGCTGCTACGGCCGTATCCGTCACTATGGTCTGTCATATTAGTTGGTGTGAATCACGTCCAATCATATCCACTCCTAAATTCACCTGTGTACCGTCATAGGCTGGCCCGAAAACATCCAGTGTCAACCAAAAACAAACCACAACATCCAAATCCATGTAGAGGACGGGGTCTCTGCAGACACCGTCACCACCACACATGTATGGAGGCCCATAAAGGTCACCAGTGCATGCAAAAAAAAGTCTAGGTGATACTTTTATGGAGCGCCTTCTACTGCATCTCAGGAAAAACTACAAAAATGAGTATTTGAAATTTTAAATCTGAGAAAGTGGTTAGAGTTCAAATACGGTCTTTCCACCACGTTCGATCAGTTTTTTTTTTTTAGAAGCAACATCCCTAGAGCACCAAAAACACGTTTATATGGACAAAAGGTATGTACAGTATGTGTTTTCATTAACTGTGATCAGAAACAGTCTCTGCACCATATGTGTGCAGCTATGAGTGTGAAAGAGAGAAAGTCAAATGAATGCAAAAAGAATAATAGGTGCCTGCAGTACATATATGAAACTCCTTTCCTTTGGCACACACGCACATGCACACACACACACAGACACACAGACACACACACACACACACACACACAGCTCAACACCCTCACCACCACCACCACCTCACAGACCTCAAATTAATAGGGTTTGGTTCATCTGAGTGTTGTGACCTCAGGCTATATTCAATAGAAGCGTACAGGTTTCATTCTCGCTAATGAAGGAAAGGCTATTTATTTCAAGGTGAGTCAAATAATAAAAAAAAAATATATTTTAAAAAACATGCTGCGTGTTGGAAAATAAATTACACGGAGAGCTGTGAAACTGTCAAGGCCAGCGGCTTCTACACACAGAAAAAAAACACCTCACAGGGAAAAGTTCATTTATTTTATCTGGATGGTATTGTACAGCCAGAAGGGAAACTTGAAAATATTGAAAATAGACTTAAAAGCAAACACTTCAATTGTTCCTCCTCACAAAAGGTAAACTGAGGTGAACCTTGAGTGGCTGCAATGTGGAAAAAGGACGCTGTTGACTAAACACTGACTGCACTGATTTAAGGGGATTGGCCAGTTATGATCAATACCACAACTTTGATGTACAATATCATCCCAAGTGCCATATACTGAGTCAGTGCCCATTATAAAGAGGATTCCCTTCCTTTACAGGCTATTTAAACTGTGAGAGTCTGAGCAGCTCTGACTCAGCCTTCCACTCAAACAGACAATATTAGCGGCACATCAGCCGAGGGGGTATGACAGGGAGAATGAGGGGGCAGTGAAGACATAATCCCCCCCATTCTTATGGCATCACTTTTCTCCTGGGCTGCTTTTTCTAGCTATGAGTTGAGCCGGTTGTCAGTTCCAGACCTGCCTGCCTGGACCGCTTTCAAAAGTCTGGAACTGATGATGTCTTTTGTAGTCAGTCTTCTGATGTAATAACAGGTCCACAGTGTGTTTAAAAGATGTCCCACAGCTGTCAAGTTTCAGCAGCACACACACACACACACACACACACAAAAAATTACATTGATTTGCATTTGTAATGGACCAAAATTAGCAGGCTGGTTCTGCAGAGCCAGGCATTTTTGTTCAATGTTGTATTGCAACAATACAGATTTCCAAACGGCATTTAATTCTTGTTTTAGCTCTTTTTGAAAGTAAGCTATTCAGAAATATACCTACTGGTACAAATAACGTCAGCTGAACCTAAACAATCACAAACACAGTCAATGCAAAGACAGGTATAGATTTAATTTGCACTAGGGAATTCCAACTATGCAAATCACTCAAAACAAATTACACAAATCTGTGTCTTCTTAAGATCACTACGCATTCAACCAAAAATGCCTCCCCATGTTAAAATTCTCCTGACAACCTTGATTCCAACTCACAATACAAATCTCAACCCGCTCCTACTTTGATCCCAAACTTGGTCCAGCTCACACACACACACACACACACACACACACACACACAAACACACTCAGAAGTAGAGACAACATGTGGAGAGAGAACAGAGCGACACGTCTCTTCATAAGCTCGACAACTAAACTATTGGCTTATAAATGAGGGATCTCCTCAACCTTTTTTAATGATGTTAAAAGTTATGTTTAGTTTGCATGACAGTGATCGTAACTTCTAATTAAATGAAAGCTCACAGTCTTGGGCTGCCTGTGACTCACACCTGTGAGCGCTGCCCTTGTAGCTGCTAAAGGTAAACAATCAGCGGCACATCTGCTCCATTATTGGTTATGAACAGTCTGTAAATGTGGCCACAGTATTACCAAGATGATACACGGTAGCGGGAATAGTATCATTTTCAACGTGCCTCGCAGAAAAGAGCGTCTGCCCTGAGTCATGCCATGATATCAGTGAAAGCAGCAGTGTCTCCTGAATATCTATATTTTACACGCAAGGAGGACACACAGAATCTGCAGGCACAGCGGTGTGTTCTCTGACTACAGACAGACTTTTATTGTAAAGCAATAGAAACAAGATAACTTGCGGTTTTGGTTTGCATCAAACGACAGACAAGTTGGTCACATGATTGGCATTGCAGGCTGTGATGTGACTATTGCACATGCACTAGTCGCAATTAGGATGATCAACTTTATTGTTCAGCCTAATTATAAGACAAATGGTTGTTGTGAAACCCACTCAAAAACATACATTTTTAAAGTTATTTGCATGTCTCACCTTGAGGCGGGACCAAACCAAGTTTTTGGGAGGGGGTTTCAAACAAGTCAGCTATTGCAATAAAATAATTCTGAAATCAGCCAGATTTCAGCCAATATGGGACTTGATAAAAATAAAAACAGTGAATCTGCAACTAACTAACGACAGATTTATGGATGCTCTACATCCTGGTCCCGCGTTTCACCATGCCAACAGGTCATCAAACTGGGCAGTGGTCACCCCCGAGTAGCTGATGTCCCTGGAGAATGTGTTTAAACTGACCAATTATTTGAAGGACGTGTTTAACAAAATTGAAGAAAAAAACACAATTGATAAAACAGAGTTACCGGATGCAAAGATTTCCTTCACGTTACACGGACAGCTCCATTCCAATGGACTCTTAATATGATGGTGTGAAAACACTTGATTATCTATTTCATAGTTCCTTCACATATTGAAGCCACAAACCCCACACAATGGACCTAAGAGATAAATACCTACATTTTGTTGTCTGCCTGCCAGAAAAGCCTCCCATTAGAACCATACCTCAGTCGTCTCTATGTGACAAAAAGCACTCCCCTCCTTGAAAGAAAAAGCCCGTTAGAGATTACAAGCAACAATCCATCCAGTGATTATTTCAGACAGAAACCCCGACCATCAGATCACTCAGACGTGGAAAGAATTCAGGGGACTGAACCTACGAGTACCAAAACATCCTTAATACAGAGTTGGTTTCATTTCAAGTCTTCTAAGAGGCCGAAAGCCTGAAAAAAAAAAAGAACGATGTGTCCACCCATACATTACAGCCAGTTTGGTGGAAACATGATGGGGCCTGAATTCTGCTCAGGATTGGAGGATGTGTATGTGCTCTGGCTTCTTACAGACTGTTGTTTAGGGATTAAGTTTCAAACATAGCATTATGAAACATGCTAACTTTCAAATATGAAATTAAAGACTTCAAGTTCTGTCAAACTTCAGCAAATCCTGTATGTGGCCTTAACTGAAAGATGGAAAAAGGTCTTTGGTAGAAACATGTGGCAATTTCAGCTAAATTTGTTCCATGTCGATACATCCAAGAAACAATGATCCTCGTTATGAGGATAACAACATTTACCTTTTGGGTTGTAAATAAGTACATAAACATACAAGTTGTGACGATCGTCACTGTCCTGATACTCAGAGAATCAGGGGTATCATTAAAAAAAAGAAGTCAGCTTTGGCATCTTTAGACTGGAAATAGCCCGAGGTCTCACAGTGTCCTACGACAGCATCTGGTAAAAGCAGAGTGTGACGTGTTTCAGCTCATCAAGCCACCTCCTCGGTAAAAAAAAAAAAAAAAAGAACTGCTTTGATTTGCAAGCAAATTATTTAGTACTGCTGTAGATTCGAGCTGAACCACTATTAAAGCACAATGACTTTGATAACAGCAGTGTGAAGGGTGAACTGTGATGTACATCTGGCCCCTGCAGAGCCAGGCTAAAGTGAAGCACTTTTCATCCATTACACAGCGATTTGTAGAGGTTGTATTAGTGGTATGAAGTAGAAAAAGAAGAAGGATTGTTTACTACTTACAATAAGATGTTTGCAAAGTAGACCAGACGTCTGAATGTGTCTTCAGGTATGTCAGCCTGTGGAGAAACAACAAAGACATACAATATTTAAATGTTTACTCTACTTCAATGCAAAGACTTTTGAAAGGCAAAATAGAAAATTAAGTGTATGCAAGTGCTGGAAAGATTTTTATTTTGGTGTTTTACTTCATCTGTAGATATTAATATAAAAATGTATTCATATATAAAGTGGTTTTTGGGGGCGTCAGGGGGCCTAGCAGTTAGGTCACGCCTTATGTACGGAAACTGTAGTCCTCCAAGCGGGCAGCCCAGTTTCAAGTCTCTCTCTCTCTCTCTCCACAATGTCCTACTCTCTCCACTGTTCACTCTAACAAAGGCATGAATGCCCAAAAAAGAAATCTTTAGCAAAGCAAAGTAAACCATCTTTTACTGTATTGGTTACGTCCCAATCTCTAGCCAATTGCTAAAACAGAATGTTTTTATCCATGTCAATTCAGTGAGGAGCATCTGACATGATGCAGCGCAACACAAAATACAAATGTTTGCATACGAATAGGATAGGGTCTAACTTGAGACCATGTGATTCTGTACAGCTTTTAAACACACTCTGAAGCTGTTAGGAAAAGCAGTTAACGAGCACCAGTCATGGGTTCAAATAAAGCTTTGGCCCTTTGCTGCATGTCATCCCCCACTCTCTTCTCAACATTTCCAGTCTCTTTCTAGCTATCCTATCTAATAAAGGCAAAAAGGCCAAATATACAACTTGAAAAAAAATGCAATCATGAGACCAGAATTTTGGGTTATGGTTAAGATTTCTAAATGAATTAAGGGACTAAAAACTGTACAAAATGATTAAAGATAAGACTGTGTTTACTGAATTCCCAGTTGGGAAATTTACATGTTAAATTAAAGCTCACATATTACGCAAAATATGCTTTACCATGTTTTTCTAACACTAACATGTGCCCCTAGCCTGTACTGTTTGCCCCTTCTCCCTTTCTGTTCTGCAGCCCAGGTGAAGCCACTAATTGAATAACGAGGTACACCTGGCCTCAGAGCTTAAAAGGCCAATGCTGGCTGCAGGAAAAAAGAGGCATTTGGAGTTGCGACTACTGGGGCGCTCAGTTAGGGATTGTCTGTTGTGTTTTGTAAAATGACTTTCTAACTTGATCTTTGTTATCATTAAGTTGAAGTAATTGTAATAAATCTCTTTGTTTTGACTTTTGTTAAGGTGTTTAGTGTCTTTTAATGGGTCAATGTGTGGTTTGTTGTTAGCCCCATAGGGCCGCCTTATGGTGGGGCCCTAACAATAGGCATGATACAAAAACAGATCAGAATGGATTTCTAATAAGAAACTTCACCGACATGTTTTGCTGAGCTTTGAGACTCATTTAAACTTGTTGAAAATATTTATAATATGTGACCTTTGGGGTCAGACTGGGTTTGTTCCTAGATGCACAATAGCAGATTTTCACCTCAAGAACTGACTGCCCAAACCAAAGAAAATACTTTGTTTGGTCTAAGATACTTCCAAGAATTAAGAACCGAACTTTGAGCTGCCTATCTGAATGGAGATCAGTCCTTCAAATGGGTCTAATTGGTTGGAACACTGAGGGATGGGTGGAGGGTGAGAGGGAGCGATGTCTTTTGTTTTTCTTTGAGAGACTGGTGCTACAGTAAAGTGCGACATCTGCGGGACATCTACTCTGAAAGCTATCTATTATACCACCTTTAAATGATAAACCAAGGTTTTTGGATCCTTTAAAAAAAAAAAAAAAGAGAGGAATAAACAAAACACGGGGAAATTTGAAATACACCACTCAAACACAGCCTCAAACAAACAAACTCTTCTCAGTTTGTTAGAATTAAAACACGGGTCTGTTCTTCACAAGGTGTTTGTAGCTCTACCGGCAGCTATACTTGAAACTGAAGTGGAGTCTATAGATAGTTGGATCAGTGTGGAGCCAGCCAGCAGGCCAGACAGATGGTGTTTCATTGCAAAACAATTTCCACTAAACAGATACAGACAGCTACAGCATCGGCTGGCAGCCGCTCGCTCTCTACCCTGCTCTCCCTTAAACCTGAGCAATTAAAATATTTCTCCCTCAATAACAGGGGAGAGGGGAGAAAAATACTGGAGATGCAACTCTCGCTGGTTAAACGTATCATGCCAAACTATGTTTCCATGGTAACTGTGGACCACAGAGGCAGTACAGAGGAAAGGGAAGTAAGCTGAGAAAAAAAAATACGCAAGATGCTGCAGGGACAGATCAGTGGGACTGTCCTTATTTCAACTCCGACTACTTCTGCTCTCCAAACTCTAACTGCATGTGTGTGTGTGCGTTTATTTGTAAGATGTGTTTATGTGTGTGTCCCTAAGGCTTTACAGTCA